CGTTCCCACGAGGAATTGGAGGCTTATATATACAATTGTATAGTCTTACGGTGTGCAACATCCATATAAATTATTGTATTAATAATTGGCACAAATTAATGTGCTAATCATTCAATTAAACATACCCGCAAGTGTACAAATCTATTGGAGTATAGATTTGTAAATACGGGATCGTTCCCACGAGGAATTGGAGGCTTATACAAAGGTCTAGTTTGAATACGTAAAGAACACTTATTTAACACAACACAAAGGTAAAATACAAATTGAATACTAGAAATGAGTAAAGAAAAGCAGATGAAATGAAACAAAACAAAAACATAAAATCAAAGATAAACACAATTAGCATTTTGTATCACTCATGTATCACCACTATATCACTGTTGTATCACTAAGGTATCACCACTTTATCTCGTTTTAGGTCAAAGACGAATATTTTATGAACTTCCTCTATTTTCCAGTTTCGACCTCTGTCCCATTTTTGCCCTGTAACTTTCCAATCATTAATCCAAATTTTATATTCTTTATTTGGTTGGATTCAACATGAAAAAATAAAGAACCTAGCTTGGACCAAATGTCGAAAAATAGATACAAAAGTAAGCAGAATTCAGTGGAAAGAACACTCAAAGTTTTAAATATAAAAAAACACAAACCAGGGGGGTTGATTCAAGTAACCTAATTCTAATGCTTAAATGTAACTAATTTTAACAAGAATAACAAATGTGATTATCAAAGTGTGATTTAATATGTGACAAACACAAGGGTTTTCGGAATCCACCCTAAACAATCCTACTCGTGTCCATGGATACTCAAGTTATGAACTCTAGATGCATTGCTAAGGATGTTAATTCGCAATCAAGACAGGGTTTAGTCGCTCAAGACACATGATTCTAACTCAAATAAGTAAAGTGCGTATTTAGTGCTACAATACTCATGCTTTCCATAAAATCAATCTAGGTGCGTTTCGTACTTTGATTTAATCATATGAAAAATCCATTAAGATTGAAGAGAATATGAATATCATAAGAATTCTAATATTATGGTATTTACATTAGTCATTCAAGAAACCAATTCACATGATGCTCACTTAGAAATGATTCAATCATTTGTTGCTAATTAGAAATTTTGTTCTTGGGTATCTTACACAACTTCTCAACTTTAGCTAGATGCATACAACCTAAGGTGATCAATCAAAGGAAGCAAACACATAGCATATGATCAATTTAGTGAAAAGGAATTCATCAATAACATCTAGAAATTCAATAACTCAAACATCAAAACAATAAAGTAATCATGTTTAGGGCTTCAACTTAAGCCCTAGCTATGGAGTTTAGTTCCTCATGTTCATAGTAAATACAACTTGAAATAAAACTAGAAAGAAGTTACAGATTTTGTGAAGGTAAAAGCACAAAAGCTTTCAATGGTGGAACGGTTTCTTCTCGTCTTGGTTGCTGCTCCTCCTTGCTCTCCTTTCTTTCACTTGTTTCATAAATTGCAAAGTGTAGCAGTCTCTCCCTTGGCCAGCCGATCCCTTTCCCCTTGCTTGGCTGCCTTCTCTCTCTTGCCAACTCATTCTTCAATATTAAAGTACTCCACCTTTTACCCAAAGTCTTTGGCACATACTCCACTTGTCTCCACTTCATCATTTCATTTTGGTTTTAATACATAGAGAGATTCTAATTTATTGCCAATCTGAAATCAAATCTCTACAATGTAATTAATTGTTACGAAGAGGTGTGGTAACAATTAGAAACGGAGATGATACCAAAAGGGGGGTAAAAGTGACCCAAAACAGACTTTCAAAGTTAGTATATCAATACTGGATCGGTTGGGGAGGTTATACTTGTTCAATGGAGCTAAATTTCAGATATTTTGTAGTCGACACCCATTGGAACAAGTTTCATGAAGAACTTTACCCCATCCGAGCAACAGAACAAGGTGATCCAAAGCCAAGAAGTTGACCTACGAAAATGAGCAAAACCAGAATTTATATTCAATAATGCACTTTTAGCTCACATTCATACCAATCAATGTAAAATCTATGAAAAACACAAAAAGGAAGTAAATGCTATGAAATGTCAAGAACTGACTCAAAATATTGGATGAATAACATGATAAATCATGTTGAAAAATGAACCCAACATAAATATAAGCCACCTTTGATGATATAAACTTAAGAGCTTAAACCGAGGGGTTTACCTCAGCGGTAAGGTACCTCCCCCAATCACCAGTTCGAATCCCGGGAAAAGTGCTCCCCCTCCGCAATTGCTGTAAATAAGAAAAAAAAAAAAAAAAAAAACTTAATAGCTTAATCTCAATCTCAAAAAACGTTGAAATTTGCAAACAGTTTAATTTATTGCCCACTCCATGTCAATCCCAAAAATGAAACACAAGTTTTTGAAGTCCCTCTTAAAAAACATAGAAAAACTCCTACTAGTTTCACACTTCTCTTCTATTTTTGTAGCCCCCATTAGCCTGTTGATGGTCAACATACCAAATGGTTCGGGAAGGCAAGGCATGGTCTAAGCTGATAGCTTTTGTGCCACATAAAGCATTGTAGGTCGAGACCCGGGACGCGTACTTATACAAGCCAAGGCTAAACTCATCACAAGCACCACTGCCTTTGCCAATTCATCGCTTGGAGGCTCCAGCCTTTGGTCCAACAAATCTTTCAAAAGAAATTCTCCATTGTCCTTCATTGATTTTGATGATTCTAATAGCTGGGATTCTAGCATATCCCCTGGGTGCCTCCCCATCATAACTTCCATTGCCACCACTCCAAAGCTATATACATCACACTTATCGGTTACCCTCATAGTGAATGCAAGCTCTGCACATGAAGAAAAATAAACCAAGTTGCCTCAAAACATATCTCAGTCACCCAAAGATTATCAAATAATGCATGCACAACATTAAATTTTTAAGTTACCTGGTGCCATGTAGCCAAATGAGCCAACAATATGGGTGCAGTTGGATGAATTGACACTAATCAGTCTTGCTGTTCCGAAATCTGAAAGTCGGGGTTCGAAATCTGAATCGAGCAAGACATTGTTGACAGTTACATCTCGGTGCACTATTGGTGGAGAGCAGTCATGGTGCAAGTAAGAGAGTGCATAAGCTAGTCCTTGCACAATTTTGAGCCTTGTAGCCCAACCAAGTTCAGTTACCCCTTCAATTCCATACAATGCTTTTCCCAGGCTGCCTCTCTCTAAATATTCATAGAGCAAGAAGACGCAGCCCCTCCTTGAACAGAACCCATATAGCCTTATGATGTTCCGGTGCCGGAGATTTGTCAACGTTCGAATTTCATTCTCGAAACTTCGGAGATTGATTGCTGGAATGTCATTAGAGTCGCACATGTTAAGCCTTTTAACTGCAACAACTTGGCTTGATGGTAACTCAGCCTTGTATACCTTTCCAAATCCTCCTTTTCCGACGCAATACTTGTCATGAAAATCCTCTATAGCCTTCACAACTTCTCCAAACGTAAATTTTACTTTTTCTTGCAGTATCATTGACTCAAAAGTCTCGAAGTTATGAGAAATTTAGATTTCCTCTATAAAGAGCTTGGGATTCTTACGCAACATAAGAATCATAGCAATTGTAATTGCAACAAATGATAAACCACAAACAGGTAAAAGTACACCAATTAGAAATTTTTTCTTTTTGGAAAGTCTGCTAGAGGGATTGCATTCAGTTGGTCCATGCAGATTTCCAAACATACCAGAGTTTCCAGCGAAAGCATTAGCCGGTGCATTTTTGAAATGGCACAAAATTGGGATTGGCCCTGTCAAGTTGTTGTAAGAAAAGTCATAGCTATCTAGACTAAGAACTTTGAAAAATGCTGATGGAATATCCCCTGATAAATGGTTGTGTGAGACATTGAAAACCTTTAAGCTTGTGAGCTTTCCCAAGCTTGAAGGTATTGCGCCCGAGAGTGAATTGCTGCTGAGATCCAAGTGGTAAAAATAAGCTATGCCTGTTAATTTGTCAAATGTGCCAAGCTCAGGTGGTATTTCTCCTGTCAAATTGTTATTTGACAAATCAAGAACCTCAGGCCGAGTCAATTTGACAATATCTTCAGGAATAGCACCACCGAAGTTGTTTTGTGCTAAATGAAGGTGTTTAAGCTTGGGGAAGTTTGATGGCAGTGGTCCTTGGAATTGGTTGTTGGTGAGATTGAGATATTCAAGCTTGCCTAGATTGGTAAATATCTGAGCTGGTATTTGCCCGGTAAAAAAATTTGTAGACAAGTCGAGGAATGTCAAGTTCCGGCATTCAGATATAAATTTTGGAAATTCTGAAGAGAAACGGTTTGCAGAAAGATCAAGGTAAGTCAACGAAGGCATGCCTGAAAATTCAGACCAGTCAGGAGTTTCTAAGTAGTTTGCCCCAAGAATAAAAAACTGTACCTTTTGGAGATTGCTCAGCTGAGAGGGAATTACACCAGTGAGATTGTTGTTGAAGAAACTCAAATACTGAAGCTCAGTCAGCATGCCTATCTGCGCAGGTATTTCTTGATTGAATAAGTTGTTGCCCAAGTCCAAAGTTGTGAGCTTGGAGAGGTTGCCAACAGCGGATGGTATAGGACCTGTGAAATTGTTGCCATTGAGGTTGAATTGGGTGAGATTGAGAAATGGGGTGAAGTGGAAATGGGTTAGTGTTGCAGTGATGTTGAAGTTGGAGAGGTCAACTTGGGAAATTGTTTTGGTGGTGTGGTCACAGACAATGGCAGTCCAATTGCAAAGGTTGTTGAGGTTTGTGAGGGACCAGGAATTGAGAGAAGGTGGTGAAGAAGCAAAGTCGTTCTTCCAGCTTATGAGAGCTTCTGCCTGTGCTCTCGGTGATGAGGCGGCGTTCAATGGAAGCAAGAAAAGCAAGGAAATATGAAGGAGAAGAAGAAAAGGAGGAGGCTTCTGAACTCCCTTCATGGTGCTCTCAGTCGACTCTGTTTGATATTTGAGTTCCATTTCTTGTTTCATAATTGAGATATTATTATGACAATGAAAAGTTGTGTGGTTCAAATGTTTCCTCAACTTGACTGGCATGGTCTTAGTCATCCCTTTGAAATGTCCGTTTGCATTTATTTCACACAAAAAAATAAAAAAGGAGAAAAAAAGGAAAAAAGATGGTTCTATTCTATAGGCATGCTTCTTGACAAAAGTGCATCATAGATGATTAATTAATCAACTAGTCAATCAAAACATATCCCCAACATGTCTAACTAATGGAATGGGGAAATCTATCAAATCCACACAAAACTCATGGAAAGAAGAGAGGTGGCAAAGGGCATTACCTATTTATTTAGTACCCACACCATAACATTAGGGGTTTTTATTTTTATTTTTGTTTTTAAATTTCTCGGCTTCTGGGTGCCTTGGATTTGAAGGTTTTTGGAGGATGTCGTTGTAGAGACCCAAACAAATTTGGCGATTTGGAATCCATCCAAAGGTGAGATTTTGAGGATGACAGTTTTCAAAGAAAAGAGGAAGAAGCAAGCACTTGGTGGCCCGTTGCTTCCCGCCAAATAGATCTGTTGGCTCCTGCATATTTCTTAGGATGTTGGGCTAGAGTGGGCTAGTTCAACACTCGTTATCTGGGCCTTCTGTAAGCCCAATCCATATATGTAAGCAAACAAATCGTAGTTAGTGAGAACTTTTTTTAAAATTCTGAATTCAAGCAATAGTCTAAACTATAAGCCACAAAGGGATGGAGTTTGCTCTCACACACTATCAAAGTGTCACAAAATTAGAACATGAGACCACTAAATTGCAAGTTAAAACCCTTTTTCATGACTCGATGGTTGGCTAGCTAGTGGGAACTTAAAAGTGCAGGGTTTGCAGGCTTCCCAAGAAGAAACAACGCTAATAACAACCCATCTTTTGTTTTGTTTTGGTTTTTTCGTTTCCCTCCGTACGGTCTTCATAATAAGTACTTGTTGTACTACCAGGAAACTTCGAATTGCTGCTGAAGCCGTGTAAATTGAGAGTTTACTGTATTCAACCAACTTTTGAGTTGTTCTTGATTTGGAAAAACGGCGCAGCTACACTTATTTTCATATCTTGATTTGAACCCACAACTTTTGAGGTGAAACACTTGGAAATGGTTTTAATGCAATGTGTTTTATTAAATTTGTAAGATCATATAGTATTTTATCTACCTACCTACCATAACATCTTCTACTTATGAATTCAATTCATGCACTAATTGGTGATATTGGGATAAAAGGGGGAGTGGGAAAATCACCATCTTATAATTACTGTTATTAGATTAGTGTTGGCCCTCTCAATTGAAGATGAAAAACCTATGTGGAAGAGATTTTGAATTTTGGCCCCTCCATGCTAAGAATCCTAACTCCGCCATTAATGGTGATACTAACTCACTTGTTAAAATATGTATGGACGACATAATAACATCATAGACTTGTAAACTTGTAATAAGTTGCTTCACACACTTTAGCTACTTAATGTTTGTTTAACTTGATAAGCCAAATAATGAGTAATAGTAATTCCACTTAACTGGCTGCTCTGCCTTTTACGCTTTAAAATATGTAAGCCAAAGCTTCTTTTATGCTAATAATTTTTTGGACGGTTACCACTTTATAGACACCGAGTCCAAATTATTAAGCGAGTTTTCACATGTGAAATCCAGTCCCAAATGGAACTCGTGCTTCTTCTCTATATAAGCCGAAATTGTGCGTGTGAAACAAATTAGGGGAGAGTCCAAGTGAGATGTGTAACTCGTGCTTCTTCTCTATATAAGGAAGCATGCATGCATCTAAGAAATGAACCATCCACGGCAACAATTCCCAAACTTTATGTCACAAGTTGACAAACTCAAATCAGATCCAACACTAAAGCAAATGCAAGTCCAAACCATGCCAATGACTCATTGCCACTTATCACAACCACATCATCATCTCCAACACCAAGAGCACAGGCAGAGGCCCTGATCAAATGGAAGAGAAGCTTTTCTTCTTCTTCTTCTCCACCACCTTCACTTCTCCATTCATGGTCCCTCACCAACATCAACAACCTTTGCAACTGGACCGGCGTTGCATGCGGCGATCACACCACCAAAACCAGAACAGTCTCCAAAATAGACCTCTCCAACATGAACATCACCGGAACATTAACCCGATTCGACTTCATCCGGTTTCCCGATCTCACTCACTTCAACCTCTTCAGCAACAATTTCAGTGGACAAATTCCATCTGCCATTGGCAACCTCACCAGCCTCACATTCTTGGACTTGGGCAACAACGTTTTTGATCAAGAAATACCATCTGAGATAGGCAGGTTAGCAGAGCTGCAGTACTTGAGTTTCCACAACAACCGTCTCTATGGTGCCATCCCTTATCAACTAAGCCATCTCCAAAAGGTACGGTACTTGGACCTTGCATCAAACATCTTTATGTCTCCCGATTGGTCCAAGTTTTCAGGCATGCCTTCATTGACCTACCTTGATATTCATAATAATACTCATCTAAATTCAGATTTCCCAGATTTCATATCCCATTGTTGGAACTTGACATTCCTTGACTTGTCTCAGACTAATATGACTGGCCAAATACCAGAAGCAGTATGTAACAATCTGGCCAAACTTGAATATCTCAATCTCACTAACAACCTGTTTCAAGGACCCTTTCCAAAAAACTTTTCCAAACTTACCAAGCTCAAACACCTTCATGCACAAGTGAACAATTTCAGTGGCCCAATTCCTGAAGATATCGGTTCAATATCTGGTCTTCAGCGTATGGACCTGCTTCAAAATTCCCTTGAAGGGAAAATTCCATCCTCTATGGGCCAACTCAGGGAGCTTCAGTACCTTGATCTTCAAATGAATTCCTTAAACTCTTCAATCCCATCTGAGCTTGGTCTTTGTACCAACCTCTCCTACTTGGACCTGACTTCCAATCACCTTGAAGGGAAAATTCCACCTTCTATAGGCCAACTCCGAGAGCTGAAGCACCTTGATCTTCGTAACAATTCCTTAAACTCTTCAATCCCTTCTGAGCTTGGTTTATGTACCAGCCTCACCTACTTGGCCCTGGCTTCCAATAAACTCAATGGGCAATTGCCTCTGTCCTTGTCCAATCTGAACAACATCAAGGAATTGGGTTTATCTGAAAATCATCTTACAGGTCCCATCCTGCCTTCCCTTATCTCCAATTGGACTGAAGTGGAATCTTTGCAACTTCAAGACAATAAGTTCAGTGGGAATATTCCAGCAGAAATTGGCCTGTTGACAAAGCTCAACTACCTTTTTCTCTACAACAATAACTTCTCTGGATCAATTCCCTCAGAGATTGGTAACTTGAAAGATTTGACAAAATTGGCTCTTTCAGGAAACCAGCTCTCAGGGCCAATTCCCATGACACTGTGGAACCTCACAAATATTAAGACAGTCAACCTTTACTTCAACAATCTCACTGGCATGATTCCACCAGAGATTGAAAATATGGTGTCACTGGAGGAATTTGATGCAAACACTAACCACCTGTATGGAGAGTTGCCAGGCACCATTTCTCGGCTTACTAAATTAAAGTCATTTTCTGTGTTCACCAATAATTTTTCGGGAAGCATTCCGAGGGATTTTGGCAGGTACAGTCCTAATTTGAGCATTCTGCGCCTTTCGAACAACAGCTTTAAAGGAGAGCTGCCACCAGAATTGTGTAGCGGTTCTGCTCTGGAAGAATTGTCTGTAGATGATAACAACTTCTCCGGGTCATTGCCAAAGTGCTTGAGAAATTGTTCAAAACTACGAACAGTTGCTGTTCTTCACAACCAATTCACGGGAAGCATTACAAATTCATTTGGTATTCATCCTAATCTTAACTCTGTTTTTCTCAGCAATAATAAATTTGTTGGTGAAATCTCACCAGAATTGGGAGAATGTAAAAGTCTCAAACGCTTATGGATGGATAGAAATAAAATTTCTGGTCAAATCCCACCTGAGCTTGGGAAGTTGAGCAAATTGGAAGAACTAATCCTGGACTCTAATGACTTGACTGGATACATTCCGGCTCAGTTGGGAAACTTAGGCCTACTGTACAAGCTCAATCTGAGCAAGAATCATTTGACAGAAGACATCCCCAAGAGTCTAAGCAATTTGACTAATCTCCGGGAACTTGATTTATCCAAAAACAATTTGTCAGGAAACATCCCCATAGAGCTTGGTAAGTTTGAGAGGTTGTCAACTTTAAATCTGAGCCACAACAATTTATTTGGTCAAATACCACCAGAGCTTGGTAATTTGCCCTTGCAGTACTTGTTGGACCTCAGCAGCAATTCACTCTCAGAACCGCTTCCTGCAGACCTGGCTAAGCTTATACGGCTGGAGATTCTTAATGTCTCACATAACCATCTCTCAGGGAGCATCCCAGAAACATTTTCCAGAATGGTTAGTCTATTTGGCATTGATTTCTCTTACAATAACTTAACTGGTCCAATCCCAACTGGTGCCATTTTTCGAAAAGAGCCTGCAAATTCCTTTCTCGGAAATGATGGCTTGTGTGGAGATACCGAGGGTCTAACTCCATGCAACTCAAATCCCGGAAAGTCCAACAAGATTAGCAAGGTTCTACTTGCTTTCCTGGTTTCCAGTTGTGTTATATTAGTGGTTGCAACTACAAGTACTGCTGCAGTGCTAAAGTTCAGCCGGAAATCGAAGCTTAAAGAAACCGAAAGTCCTAGGATGTCTGAGAGTTTAGATTTAGGGATATTGGGAAGATATGGAAAATTCACATTTGGTGCAATTGTGAACGCGACGGAGAACTTTGATGAGAAATACCTCATTGGAAAAGGAGGATTTGGGAGTGTCTACAAGGCTATGTTGGGCAGGGGGAAAGTGGTTGCAGTTAAGAAGCTGAACATTTCAGACTCTAGTGACATTCCAGAAATAAATCGCCAAAGTTTTGAGAATGAGATACGAACCTTGACAGAAGTGAGGCACAGAAACATAATAAATCTCTATGGGTTCTGTTCATGGAGGGACTGCTTGTACTTGGTGTATGAATATGCAGAGAGGGGTAGCTTGAGAAAAGTATTGTATGGGACAGAGGAAAGGGAAGAAGAACTTGGATGGAGCACAAGGGTGAAAATTGTGCAAGGGCTAGCTCATGCAATTGCTTACTTGCACAATGATTGCTCTCCTCCAATTGTTCACAGGGACATAACTTTGAACAACATATTACTTGAGAAGGGTTTCGTGCCACGGTTATCGGATTTTGGAACTGCAAGGTTGTTGAGCACAGATTCATCCAATTGGACTTCTGTAGCTGGATCTTACGGCTACATGGCTCCAGGTAAAATCCAATAAACTAATATTCAATTTATACATGACTTATATTGACACATTGTTTATGATAGAAAAATGTTGGTTGATTTTGTTGTTCTGATGTGCATGTAGAGCTGGCTTTCACAATGCGTGTGACGGATAAGTGCGATGTGTATAGCTTTGGAGTGGTGGCATTAGAAATAATGATGGGAAGGCATCCTGGAGAGCTTTTAGCTTCCCTATCAGTCTCATTACCAGAAAATGCAGAATTGCTTTTGAAGGATTTGTTAGACCAACGGCTAAGGCCTCCTCCCGTTCAGTCAGCAGCGGCAGTGGCTTCTGTGGTAACCATGGCTTTGGCCTGTACGCGCACTAATGCAGAGTCAAGACCTACCATGGATTTTGTGGCAAAAGAACTATCATCAGCCAGGACCCAGGCTAACCTCTCTGTACCATTTGGCATGATCACCATCAACAAGTTGGCAAATTTTCAAAACCAGAAGAACTTTTAAACATAAGAGGTCCAAACATATATGAATACTAATCGTTTATGTACCGATGCAATGTTAAGGGTTGTAGCTCTATCCTGTCAACATGAACGGTTGTAAACGTTGATTTATAACAATTATTCACGAATCGATTACTCGTGTAATCCAACCAGACTATGTTAAAACTTCTATGTTATGCATTTGATTAAGTTTTCAACTACCAACAAAAGTAACACTTCCGACCTACCAACAACCCAAGTGTCGTCCAGAAAGAAAAGAACCAAAAACTAGTTAGCAACCACCGAACTGTTGGGGCCTAAAGAGAAACTGGGCCCTTAAAGTGCATGAAAGAACGTTAAAAATTTCCAACAAGGTGATGGATTGCTGAAAAAAGTGTAGGGTAGGGTCCAATATCTGTCTGTGTAGACAAATGTGAAATTGAAGTGAAGTTTGAGGATGAGCAAATTCTCTATGTATGTATTGTTCTATGAGACTCAAAAGGAATTCATCTTCATGATCACCGTCTTTCAAAATTAGCCTTACCTACTATAAAGTTTATAAACAGAAAAAAGAAACAGAAAAATATTACAATTTGGATTAAAATTTCGACTGGTTGCCCTGCAAGATAAGAAAAATGTTGAAATTTCGACGTTGAAATCACCTTGAGAAATACCAAAGAAATACAGGGACCACTGCAAGTACGTATCAAAACCACACCAATGAAAGTCTTTTGCTATGCTATGGAAGGTACAATTCCAATATTTCTTAATCAAAGTAAGTCCTTTTAAAATTGGAATATTTAAAACTTAAAAGGCAGATATTGCCATGTTCAACTTTGGAATAATGAAGCTGATCAACTTTGAGAAGTACCTGGAGACTTGACTTTGTCATTGTCCCACTTACTATATTTTTTTTCCTTCTGTCTTGTCATCCTATTCTCACTAGGAGGACTAAGCAGCAACAGCAGGCAAACTTCCTCAATCTTCATTTTCAATTTCGCATTTCTTTCCACAGACTGATACTCACGTGATTAGCACGTGAGGAGAGAGATGGAGTAAGCAGAGCATCCAGGAAGCGCCATGTGGCATTTTTCCCGTTGGGTTTTGTCAGCAGTGACGTCGCGCTGACGTCAGCGAGCGGAAGTCAAATTTTTTTGAAATGGGCTCGCTGATGTCAGTGGCGGAGGTATTTGAAGGCCTGAAGGGGCCCGGGCTCTCCCAAAAATTTGATAATATTTTATTTTTGGTCCCCTATTCCTACAGATTTTAGAAAGTATGCATAACAATTTTGCTTGTGGCCCCCTCAAGATGTGTTTCTCTTTCCAAATTAAGTATATATAATAATAACCACTTGACTGAAGGTTGTGAATGTTTCTGTCCACACGCCAGCTTTGGTTTTTAAAAAGTGGAATCTAATGTCCATCAATATATTAATAAAAAAATTAAAGTAACCAATGAAATAAAGTTTCAAAAAAATTTCTTTATCAAATAGGAAGTAGACTTCTACCCAAATAAAAAAGGATTGGGATTTTAATTTTTGTTTCACTTGTTTATAGAGTGGTTGTGCTTGTGCTTACTCTTCCTGTTTCTACAGCAACTGCAGAGCGATCATTTTGTGCTATGTGTATAGTAAAAACTAGACTTCGTAACAAGATAGAAGACGAATTTCTCACAGACTCTTTGATTATGAACATTGAAAGGGAAATTGCAGAAAAGTTTAGCATTGACTCAATTATAGATAGTTTTCGAGATATGAAAAAACAACGAGTGTTATTTTGATACCTAATTGAATAAACAATTATTTTTTGCCATTAATTTTTCCAAAGGTTGAAATTTTGAATTTTTTTAAAGTCTTGTTTGGTTTATATGTTAGCCCCCCAACACATAAATTCCTAGCTCCGCCATTGGTCCCCGCCACCCACTGATGACACTTAACCACTCATGCTATGCCTTACTTTGTACTTATGCTTAGTTTTTCTAGTCTTTATATTATATTCTTGACCATCAACTTAATTTTTTTTTTCCCCTTTACACAAATGATCGTTTTCTATTATCAAATTAAGAACTCTTATGATTTAACCTTTCTTCTGTGCAGGTTCACGGAAACAATTGGGCGTAGGTGAGTATATATGATAAATAGAAAATACCAGAAGTTTCGATCTTTGTTTTCTTTCACAAATCACCGAAATGCATATAACACTTGAACAATTTTTCCATATATAGGCATTGCGGTTGCTGTTCCGTCGATCATCATAATCATTTTTTTTAACCATATGCATAACAAGGAAAAGAATATTGGCCTTCTTCTTTGATAATATTTTATTTTTGGTCCCCTATTCCTACAGATTTTAGAAAGTATGCATAACAATTTTGCTTGTGGCCCCCTCAAGATGTGTTTCTCTTTCCAAATTAAGTATATATAATAATAACCACTTGACTGAAGGTTGTGAATGTTTCTGTCCACACGCCAGCTTTGGTTTTTAAAAAGTGGAATCTAATGTCCATCAATATATTAATAAAAAAATTAAAGTAACCAATGAAATAAAGTTTCAAAAAAATTTCTTTATCAAATAGGAAGTAGACTTCTACCCAAATAAAAAAGGATTGGGATTTTAATTTTTGTTTCACTTGTTTATAGAGTGGTTGTGCTTGTGCTTACTCTTCCTGTTTCTACAGCAACTGCAGAGCGATCATTTTGTGCTATGTGTATAGTAAAAACTAGACTTCGTAACAAGATAGAAGACGAATTTCTCACAGACTCTTTGATTATGAACATTGAAAGGGAAATTGCAGAAAAGTTTAGCATTGACTCAATTATAGATAGTTTTCGAGATATGAAAAAACAACGAGTGTTATTTTGATACCTAATTGAATAAACAATTATTTTTTGCCATTAATTTTTCCAAAGGTTGAAATTTTGAATTTTTTTAAAGTCTTGTTTGGTTTATATGTTGGCCCCCAACACATAAGTTTCTGACTCCGCCACTAGATGTCAAAGCCTTCAAACTTGAGCCCAGACAAGAATTGCCCTAGCTGGTGGGACCCAAGGCTTGCCCCGGCCAGATTCCTCGCCCTGGAGCTGGATTCGGGCTGGAGGGGGCATGTTGCCCTGGCAAGGCTGGTGCGCTGCACTTGCCCTTAAAGTGCATGAAAGAATGTTAAAAATTTCCAACAAGGTGATAGATGGCTGAAAAAAGTGTAGGGTAGGGTCCAATATCTGTCTGTGTAGACAAATGTGAAATTGAAAGTGAAGTTTGAAGACGAGCAATTCTCTATTTATGTATTGTTCTATGAGACTCAAAAGGAATTCATCTTCATGATCACCATCCTTCAAAATTAGCCTTACCTACTATAAACAGCAAAAAGAAGCAGAAAAATATTACAATTTCGATTAAAATTTCAACCAGTGCCCTGCAAAATAAGAAAATTGATGAAATTTCGACATTGAAATCACCGTAAGAAATACCAAAGAAATACAGGGAGCATTGCAAGTATGTATCAAAACCACACCAGTGAAGTCGTTTGCTATGCTATGGAAGGTACAATTACAATATTTCTTAACCAAAGTAAGTCCTTTTAAAATTGGAATAATTAAAACTTAAAAGGCAGATATTGCCATGTTCAACTTTGGAATAATGAAGCTGATAAACTTTGAAAAGTACCTGGAGACTTGACTTGTCATCGTCCCACTTGAATATTTTTTTCTTCTGTCTTGTCATCCTATTCTCACTAGGAGGACTAAGCAGCAACAGCAGGCAAACTTCTTCAATCTTCATTTTCAACTTCGCATTTCTCTCAACAGACTGATACTCACGTGATTAGCACGTGAGGAGAGAGATGGAGGGAGCAGGCAAGTGTTTTTTGGCATAGCCTGGTACCATTACCACCACTATTATGTCGGTGAAAGTTTTTTAAAGTAAATTTAGGTTTTAGCTAAAAAAAAAAATTATTTTTTGAAAAAACTAAAAAAATTTCAAAAAAGACAGAAAAACTTTTCAACTTTCAAATCAAAGACATGCAAATGTAAATGATTCCTTAGGAAATCCAAAAATAAATAAGGGCAATTTTGTCAATTTTAGCTTTTTTTCAAAAATTTCTCTCTCCTTTGTCTTTTTACAAAGTCTCTCAAGTTTTAATAATATTTGATGCCTTTTAAGGGGCTGGTTCCCTTCTTGGAACCTACGTGGTATTATCCTTGGTAGTTGGGAAGTTCATGTTTCGGTTGGTATGGTTGGAAATTAATCCAATACATAACACAGAATTTTTAAACATAATTCTGTTGTATCTTAGATGTTCGTCATAGTCGTTCATACGTGGATTTATAATTCTTATACAGTATTTGTTTATAATTTTTGAATTTGCACGTGTACGACTGTTGTTAACATTTCTTTTTACTCGTCTGTTATATCTATTTTATTAATAGTGTACAAATGAATCTAGATGGTCTTCCTTTAATTGCCAAAAAAAGAGAAAGTAGATATCCAAAAAGACCAAGAAGTTGAAGCACCTAGTTTGAATCTAGATGGTATGACTTATCAGATTGTTAATCTGTCTTCTCTTTATTGTTTTTTTTTTTCTAAAGTACTTTAATTTTCTATGCCAAATGTTTGGTGAAAAAATTCCACTTATAAGGGTGCTCCGCATTCCACGCTCCAAACTACATAAACTTTTAACCTCAACTAATTATCCATTTGGCTGAATAATCATTTTAGCAATTAAAATATATAAGTGCCCAAATTCCTAACCTCAAATAATTATCCATTTGGACTGAATAATCATTTTCCATTAAAATATTTTGATACAGTAATGTAAGCGGCCCCTCTATTTTCTAATCGATCGTACACCAATTTCATTTTATTTTCATGATTCTGTATCGATGAGTACAGATAAAATTGTTTTCTATACATTATACGTTTTTTGCATTATTTTTTTCTTTTGTTTTTGGTTAAGATTATATACATTTTGTATGGTGTGCAAATATACTCCATAGTAAAGCTAATTTAAAAAAACAGAGATGGATTTAGTCAAGTTCACTATAGCGGATGTGATTCACACTCTGCACCTGAGTTCGAATCCTCATCCCTCTAATTTCGATTAGATTAAACTATAACATTTTTTGTATTAAGAAAAAGATGGTGGACCACTAGTTTGGTTGGTTTGGGTAT